AAAAGGTTTTATCAGTTCAGAGATGCTTTCATGCATTTTAAGGAAACTTATCACATCTATTTCACACAAGCTTTTTGGAAGTATACAATGTATTTTTTTTTAATTTTGGAAGTATATTCTGTTATAAAATTCAAACCATAATTTTTGCAGCAGATATTTAGCCATGTACACTTTCAGTCAAAACGGCAAGGTTTCAGTAAACCAGTCAGCCCTATTTTTTCCATCTTGACACTTAAACATATTAATCAGTCAAAAAAATCAAATAGTCTGCATTCTGGTAAGGCAGACATTCAAATTTAAATAGGCGATATTTAAATATACAGTGTTTATTTACCAACATACCCCATATCATTAAAGCATTTTACTGTAATCTTAATCATTATCATTTTATTTTTGCATAAACACTTTCGCACCTTTTAAGTACACTTCGCACCCAGTTTTCTATGAAACATCAAGAGTACAATGTAGTCTTTAAGTACCTGTAACACCTATACTGATTTTATCAAAACTGATCAAAGACATTAGCATTATGATTAAAAGATTTGAAAAAAACTATTACACATAGACTGAAAAATTACAGTGACTGTTTGGCGAAAAAATGGCACCCAGTCTTTCAACATTAAATACGCTTTCAAAGGAACAGGAGCTTTTATTCAGTTACTATAGCGGTATCAGCAACACCAACATCATAATCCTATTGTATGTGTCACACGTTTTTCTCTTTGATGTGCCCGATGCACATTCCATCACACAATTGGACATATGGACTGTTGCTGCTTTACAAATATACAAAAAAAAATTGTAACGAAAGTATCAAATAATCATAGCATTCTGACAACTTCGACAAACTTGCGCTTCCAACCTAATTATAATTAGATATGAAATTCATTAACTCTAAGCCAGATGGAGGCCACTGAAACTACCTGTGTGGTGACCAGTGCAGACCAAGATCAGCCAACATATCCATGTCATGTGATCATGGTCTGCACTGTTTGCTATTTAGTCAGTACAAATTTGGTCTAAAAATGATGACTGATTATGTCCAGACTGAAAGATGTACAAGTCCATCTGAGATATTATCTTTAGCATGATAAGGGACAACATTGAACAAAGATATCATACAAAACAGAACTTATCATCAACTTTGTTACTTGGTTAGATTTAATAAATATTATCTATTTCTTGTCAAAGAAGAAACATAATTTATAACATAACTCATATCCCTGCTGCCCTTCCTAAATTACACATTTTGTGATTTTTGTAATCTAAGCAATAAATTTTTTAAAGTTAATACCTTTCTTTTTTAAGTGAACAAAATCATCAAAGTCGGATTACTAGATTGCATTATACAAATAAAGACATATTGATTGTAAAAGCAAGACATGCATTTTTTAAAATGAAGAATATTTTAATGTTTGTTGTTTTTTTTTTATCAGCATTTGATGGTATTGTGATGCCTTATTTGTATGTCACCCTTACTTGATGATCTTGTTTTTCATATTTTACATAGACTAAAGAACTTTGGACCTTCGTAATATCAGTTTATACTGTTATATAATTAATGCAAATAGTCAAGAAGAGAAAATTTTGAATGTCATCTTGGTACAGCTAAATTTGCTATTCTTATGTAATATCATTATTGCTATCAAATGCCTCTAACGGAAGTGCTAAAAGTAAGAATAGATTACTAGACTTCAATCTAATGTTAAAGTTAAGAGATTATTTTAGGGAGGTTTCGAGACTTTTTGATACTTTGACATTTTGATCTATGACCAGGACATCCAGTTAGTGTCAGGGAGATTATTAGGTCAGTATTTGTACAGTATATTTATCATTTAATTCCCAAATAAGCCTCTTTTAGAGATAATTCTGATACAGTCAACTACATTAAACATTGTGCAAGCCCAATCCCATATATGATTATATCTGTAAGCTGCTGTAATTATGTCCACTTTTATCTTATCAGTATGCTACCATACACAAATAAATCCCTCACTTCTTAATCTTTTGCCCCTTCTTAAGCCGATATTCTAATCCCCTTTATATCATAACCACTGATAGGGCACCCAGTCTAGTAGGCCATGTCGAAATGATTAAGGCCCTTTTTGCGAAAAATTTATGATTAGTCATTTCACGAAACCAGTCACTGAAATCAGTCACCGACATATATCTTCTATCCACCGACCCACTCAGTTGACATAGTCACCCATTTCTAACACTCAGCTACGGCCTCAAATGTTTGACAAATGTACTTAAAAAAATGCGTGTTGATTCTATAAAACAAGAATTTATTATCAGACCTTGCAATAAATGTTACCCTAAACTCTGCAAATGTGGGTTTTTCCTATTTTAAATGGGGACCAGGTGAGGTTGGGTTACATACATACTTTTACCTTTTACCCCCACAGCTTCATGTGCACTACAGGTCATAAGAGAGTGATTAATATATGGTGCTATTTTCATAATATGAACCATTATAAGTGCAATGCCACAAATGTTAAACTGTAAAATGCACTTGCCGATTACCTTGTTAATTTCTAAATACATGTATTCTTAACTCAGGAGAAACACTCCTTTAACATCAACGTTTTAATCAGTTTGAAATTTGGATTTTGACATGGAAAGACTATATTAGGCTTTGCCTTTGATGAGTACACAATATAACTGGCTATTGTGAAGAAAAGCATTTCCTTCATGTCAAAATCAGTCATAATAAAAGTCATAAAACATATAAGAAAACAAATTAATGATTTATGTAAACACAGTCAAATATTGCTCATAAAGCTCTGCTCTGTGGTTAAACTCTAACTTTCATTGGTCATTTCATTTTACATGTAATATACAAATGTATCTTTAAAATGGAGCACCATGTTTTGTATTAACAAATGAAACACGCAAACAGCGACTGTAGTGTTAGGCTTTGCCCTAAATCCTCCAACTACATGCCAAATGACCACTAAAATACATGTCCGATAAGCTCCTGTAAAAATATTAGATGTTTGTATAACACTAAAGTTACAGAGACCTTTCTTGACTTTTCAGTGTTTATCAGGAAGTCATTCTATTGTTCAAACGTAGGCGCCCCCAGAGGAAACTTAATGTTTTCAAACCTAAGTAGGGATTAAAACGGTCACTATACAAAGTTCTTCATGCGAGGTGTTTTCAATCCACGCTGCATACAGATCACCGTCTTTAAAAAGTCTGATTTTTATCTGTCCGGATTATATGAAAACATTAAGAACAACCTATTTGCAAATAATCTTTACAATTTTCGCCAATCCTATTTCCGTGAATATGGCCTTAAACTATGACACTGGCATAATTTACCCTTAACCAAAAGTAAATAATAGACAGTTTTCAAGATTGCTTTAATCTTCAAGGGAAATACAAATTATAAATCTTATACTACAGTACCAGATAAAGTTAAAATTTATTTAATATTGTGGTTAAGACTTGAAAATAAGAAGTTACCACAAAGTTTGTCCCGAACACCATCCCAGATTTAACCATACACAAATTTTTGATTACGGTACAAAGATTTAAACAAGTTTAACTGTAAATTGTATTTCTATCAACTTTCTCAATCAACATCAAAAAAATATCACATTAACAAAATTTACAAAAATTTATAAAAATGTAAAAGCTGTGTAAATAAATGTAACTGGTAAAAGATAATCAACATAACATTTTCTTTTAAGTTGTCAATGTGTGTTTTGATATTAAATTTCTGCAAAATACTGTTTCATGGAATGCATTTGTAATCACAATGGAAAAAAAACAACAAACAATTTTAATGGCAAAATTGAGTACATGTGTATTTAACAACGACTTTCATTTTGTAATACAAATCATGTTTGTTTTGTTGTAATTTAGTCACAAAGACATTGTAAAGGCCATATGCTGACTTCCCAGGTCTTACTTCTGAAAGAAGACCACATCATGCATTATTTCAGGCACAACCAGAAATCTGAGTAGAACAAGAACTACCAACTTTCTCAGGCACAACCGGAAACCTGAGTAGAACTAGAGTCACCAATCTTCTCAGGCACAACCGGGAAACTGAGTAGAACTAGAGTCACCAATCTTCTCAGGCACAACCGGGAAACTGAGTAGAACTAGAGTCAACAATCTTCTCAGGCACAACCGGGAAACTGAGTAGAACTAGAGCCACAAATCTTCTCAGGCACAACTGGGAACATGAGTAGAAGAAGAACCATAGACCTTCAGTCAGCTTGCTGGACAGTTTCATCACTTGAGAGAATCCAAAGTCCCTGATGGCATAAGAACCCGCAGCAGTGAGTGTATTAGTCTTATAAAATGTAAGACATAAAAGGAAAAGAATATTTTGCTGCGATGGAGTGTAGCTTTAATTGAATCAAATTTTAAAATGTTTTAACCGGACTTGTCCAGCTTTTAATCTGAACATTTCATTGTTATTAGGAGGGATTCTGATATAAAAATGCAAAAAAGTCCTATAATTGCTCACAATTACCAGACTAGGCTGAATGGCATAAACAGTTCTGCCCAGACAAATCATTATCAGAGCTTAGTATTCAAATTATTAAAATATAAAGCTTTTCAATAACCAATAATATTATGATAAAGAAGTAATTTGACAATCCAAAGGTGTTAAATTGAAGACATATCAAGATTTTTATCCTACCAATAGAGATACAATTGCTTTGACAAAGCATTATGATATTGCATTCTTTAAATATTCTGTACTAAACTATTTTAAGATAACATGAATTAGTTGCTACCCATAAAAATTTATCTTCGTTTTGTCATAATCATTGTTCTGGTTTAAAGCATATGAAGTCCCCCCAAAAAAGTCTTCGTAATAAATTTTGTTTTATTTTTTATTCTTTTTTGTATTCATCAATGTTATGAAAAAGAAGTACATGTTAGAATAACTTTTATGTATCAGTTAACTGTTACAGTTTGGAACTGTTACCCAATTAATTAAGAGTAAGCAGCCAGATAGTTCAGTTGTGCTCTGGTATTTTAAGGGTCCTGGGTCCGAGTCCCAGTCCCATATGACATATGTTTATTTTTTTTAAAACCAGTTGCAAAATGGTCATACTTTTACTGATACCGGTATGACAGATCCAGGCTAAGCTGTACATCCATACAATCTGACCAAGCTCTATACTGGTAGCTGGTGGCACCTTGGTTGGTCATGAAACTTATTGATGTAATTGAGCTGCAATAGACAGGTGTAAGTTTTTAATTTTACAGATGGACAAATTCACAATACAAAATCAGCGGCTATTGTGATGTAACAAATTTTAAAAACTTGTATTCCCAAAAATATATAATATAGCTGTAGTAATAGCTGTTAACTGTTCAACCTTTGACCTACCTGTATGCTTATGCTTAATATTTAGGTTTTGGCAGTTCATAAATTTGCACCCAATAACCTCACATTTAGGCATTCTGTCAATACTAAGACTTTTCTCCTAAGTAACTTCCAACTTCTTAACATAGCTTAATCAGAATCAATACCTAGACAAAAATCATTTAGGAGTTGTCTCTTTAAATAGATTTATACTTAATTGAAATTTTAAAAAATCTAATTGGCTGATCAGATTTGTTGCTTTACAACTTGTAAATGTTTCCCAATTTAAACTGTTTTATACAGCTTTATTTAAGGCAGCCCCTTTCCCTGCATTGGATACAAATTAAACAATTATATTCAATGACTGACAAAAAAAATATTTGATTACAGAGTAAAGTTCCTTTTATAAAGCAACAGTAAACAGTAATAACAAAAGTTGAACTTCTTGTTCAATACAGGTGTTCTTTTAATACTTTAACGTGAAGTAATTTGTCCGTCAATAGTATTCTAACTACATTCAGACAATCCCAATCCAGACAAAAACCTGTCACCTACACTAGTATAAACATTGTTACAGTATTTCTAATTTGTTCCATTGAAAAAGACAGCTACTCCTGTTGCCTTGTGTATTCTAAACTGGCCTACTTTACACCAAATGTGAAAATAACCTGACGCGCTAGTGACTTTCAGATTCAATTACATACTATTTGCTATGTAATTGGTTATTATAAATCAATTATCTCTACTTTCTGCTCTCAATAGAATACCCCTTTTTAAATCTTCATCATGGACAGTGAAAAATAAAAGAATTTTTCTGTAAATTATGATTAATTTTGTTCAACCTTGACTCATTTGAAATTGAATAGACCATTATATATTATGTTACCTTTTTATACAGAACCCATTACTCAGCTGGCCAAGGAATTATAAACAAAATCGAAGGACCTCTTCACCTTTAAGTGACCTGAAAATCAAAATATAAAAATATGAAAAAACAACCTACTAATACATGTAACACTCTTCAAAAAAGTGTTTTACTTTTAAATATTTTAAAACATGTTAAACATATAAAAAGTAAATTAAAAAAAAAACAGATATTAATGCAATCTTGACTTTTATGGGCTTTGATATCTTTTGATACTTTTTTTTCTGAAATTTTTTACAATTTGTGAAATAATATATAAAACATTACAATGATAACATCGTCATTACCTTGACAATTTTTTAGTACAACAGCATGACGACTTTAAGGTTGTCAGGTTTCTGACCTACCCCATTTTGTTAATTGATTTACTTTAAATATATGGAAGATCTCAAATGAAAAAGCAAATACAACAAAAAATATGAGTCTACTTCATATTTACAAAGATGGCACTATATCACTACATGCCCTCTGTCAGACGTAATTACTCTGACATTTTTTAAAGAAAAAAAAATCATAAATCTATTTAGCATACATGTAAAGCAAACACTGTTTGAAATTGAACATGTTTACTGAACAATCGTGCATACAATTGCAATAGACATCTGGCAAAAAAAATAAAATAATCAAGTCATTTTACAAGTTGTTATAGGTTTAAACAGAAAAGTGTTGGATTATATTTACATTGACAACTTGAAAATGTTTAGCCTATACTTGTAACCTATATTTGTAAATTTATGAAAGCATTATCAATTACTCAATCATTATCAATTATACAATTAATCTACCTCATTGATAATTCTTTCTGTCATACAAAAGATTTTTTAATTCATATTCATGTAATTACACTGTCAAAAATAATTAAATGAAGTCAAGAGAAATTTGAATATATGAATTGATGATATGTATATATATATATTTTATGAGGCATCTTTACTGTACGTCTCTGATTATGAATAGTTCTAGTCTGCCTGCTTAGCTCAAAAAGGAAAGTATCAGATTTGTAAACCACAAGCCACTGATTCGATCCTGTGGTGAGACGAAATTTCCCTTGTATGTTTGGTAAAATAGTCATGTGTCTCTCACAACTGATTCAAAATTATGTGGAATTGGAATCGGTCACTTGAGGAAAAATTGTTAATTACTGCTGTTAGTTATCCAAGAAAGCTTGTTGGACAGTTATCCAAGAAAGCTTGTTGGGCGGACCAACAGCCTAGATATGGCCTAAAATGTGTTAAAATCACAGTCAAGTCATAAAAAAACAAACTCTAAGTTTGAATCCCACTATAAGGACCATGATATGCCATTCATCTACAAATATTACTTTCAATAAAACGCTGGTACCCAATGTCACAGGTTAGCATCCATTTCCTTAAAGTTAGTGAAGATGGTTGCAGTTGGTTCTGGTCATTGAAGGTACATTGTATAGTGATGCGAGTTTCAAGTTGATAGCATGCAGACGAAACCAATCACCAGATTATATACATGATACTGGGGCTTTACTATAAAAGTCTAATTTATATTTACAATAATTCCCAAATGTTAATTACCCTTAAGTTTATAAAGACTTCTGTTACTATGGTTTTCAGGAGAAACTCCTTGCTACTACAATGTTTCCAAAGAATTTCTGTTTCCATGGAAAAGTACTTCTGGTCCTAAAGTTTCCAAATGGACTGCTATTACCATAGATACTAAAGCGCACCATACAGCCACTTTTCTCCACTGTAATAAGTTAAGAAAGGTTCAAAACATAAAAATACATGCATTTAGTTGTACACTGTATTAATTTCTTGGACAAAAGTTTGCTAATATCAGTAAATGTGCATGTTTTTGTCCGACTAATTACACGTATAAAATCAATCTGACATTCATGAATATTTGATATCAATTTTTTGTGAATAAAATATCATGGCAATTATATAAAGCATGTTTTGAATTGTTCAGGCTTTAGTTGTTTGAGAAAGAATATTAGGAAATCACATTGTATGAATTTGTATGAATTTTTATTTTATGTGATAGTTTTGTATTGGATCAATTGTTAAACAAGGTACGCTATAGATACCGATATATTTATATATACTCAAAACTGCATAATTTATTAATTACATATCAAGACGTAACAAGAATATCGTTATGTCATTATGACACAAAAAGAAATGAATAGTCTACCAATTCAAAACCAGTTTGTTGTCATAGAAACATTATATACTTAAGGTAAAAAAAAGGCAGATATGAATGCTATTTCATAAAGGAACTTAATATCTGAATACATTTTCTAAATGTGATTACATCACCTTGACTTCTTTGATGATAGGGGTGAAAAAACATGTATGATGATGATATTGCCTTTGAATAGGTAAAAATATTTTAAAAAAACCCAACTTTTATTATGATAAAATGAGCATTGTCACATTAAATACACAAACGGGATAAAACAGGTTTTCTTCAACAAAAAATATTCAAAGAATTTAAGGTTTTTTTTGTCATTAATTCACTTAACTATTTAAACGACACCATTTTTTGCAAGTTTAGTTCACTGCCCCCACATTAAGTTTCAAACCCTGCATACTGCCTCATACATCATTCATTAAAATTCTTTAAAATCATTACAAATTCACGATTTTCCCATTAACCTGTGGAATAGTTTGTGTTTCGTATAACCCTTTTAAAACGAAGTCTCCTGGAGGGCCCATGTCACATGACTAGAGAAACGGCTACGATCTTTTGCACTCTCCGACAATGCATCTGTTGTAGTAACATTGAGAGAGGCGCAATTAATCTTCTCCTGGCTGATCCGGTGCATTTTTGTTGACATCAGAATTTAAGTTTCAGAGAATCTAGAAGCAGACGACAATTGCTGATGAATTAATGAAACGGCGAAATAATCAAATGCCCTCAACATCCCTGTGAAACTGATATGAATTTTTCACAAAGAGAAAATTAGCGTCTATAAAAACACAGAATTGTCGAATTTTGATGACACTGTCAATGCAGGTTGAAATTAGTCTGTTTCCCTGTCCAAAAGAAAATAAAAATTTTGTAAGGAAAGAAAGTAGGCGTAATTTTTAATTGATATTTCAATACATCTACAATGGCAATTTCAATGGGTATTTTATTATATGCAATTAAAATGTCTGGATAATGCCAAATATGATAATAAGATGCCATGTAATTCACAGTATCAATAAAGTAATAAACTATGATAATTATCATAAAATCAATGTGGTAGATTTGTGTGTTATATGGATAATTAAATGTCATATTTGTAATACAGTCAATGATACCTGCTGAGCCATTGGATGTGACTGGGTACTTCATGCCAGAGACATTATAGATAACATCTATATCTCTGTTAAAACCATGGACCTTTATGCACTAAAAGTAGTTCTTGAGGCAGCATAAGCCTATATTTTTAGGAAAGTGTAAATTCCTTTTGTGGTCAATCATTAAATATTTCTTGAAGATAAAGAGTAAAGTTCTATAATAACAATAAGTCTTTAATTCAGGCAATCCACCACTAAAACACTTCTGAAGGGCAATCAGGAAAACACCAAAAGATAAGGTACAGAACATGAAAACCTTATAATCCATCAATATGGTGGCCAATCTTATTTGTCTCCCCCCAGTCTTAACAGTGCTGTAAGTGAAAGGCACCAAACTAAATAAACTTATTTAAAATTATTATTGGAAGAGATTAATGACTTCGGTTAAAACACTTTCATTATACATGTAATTATATGTAATTATTAAAGAATCATAATACTATGGCATGTTTTTTGTTTGTTTTTGTTTTTTATTAATAATGGAAAAGGTGTTTTTAAAAAATCATGTAAAATGATAAACTGTTCTTAAATAACTTTCAAATGTTGAATAATTATTACGCTCTTGGTAACTTTTTGTACCAGTTTCTTATGTTTCTTTGGACTGGACAATATTTCAACATGTCATGCTCACTCTATTGTGAAACATTATATACCATTATTTATGTATATATCTTGTATAATACAAAGGCAGTTAAAATGGCATCCAAACAAAGAGATTGCAGCAATAATATGTATTGAATAAAAGTATAACCCATACACGACAAAGAAGTTCTAACAAAAAAGCGGAGACTTTTTATTTGTAAAGCTGCTTTATGAAACCACAAAATATTAAACCGTCTACGCCACAATGATTTTTTCATTTTATTGCTATTTTTTCATTGTGCTATAAATACTTATTCACCTATCACGAATTTTTCATAAAGCGACGTAATGAATGTGATTTCAATATCAAAATTCCTACCTAAATTATTTTCTTTGTGCGATGGAGTTTACGAAAGATTTGAATATTTAAATATACTATTTAAACATCAACAAAGATGTTTTGACCCTGACTATCCTGTTACCAAGCTAACGGATTCTTAAATATATTCTTTGTCGAGTTTACATAAAAACCGTCAACATATCAAATTTTAACCCACAAAGATCACCTACTAATCTATATATTGAATTAACGCGTGATGACACTTACATAAAGATGGGTGCGATCTGTTTTTCGGTACATTCAACGCACTATCGCATCTATCTTTGAAAGTTTGAATGCAGAAAAGTAGATTTTGTTAAGTTTCTTAAGATTTTCGAAGATTTATAGCTCTTTGTATAGTTTTGCTTTAAATAAGTTAATTTTTTATATAGATACCCTGCATGAATTTAAGTAACTAAAGTAAGTACTTACATGCAAATATGCGGAAAAATTAAACATATTATAATGGGGGTTAAATGATGTTTAATGTACCAAGTCTTGAATCAAATCTCTGTTCTGATTAATTAAATTGTGAGAAAAACTATTTTTCTTGCCTCTTGATAATTAAAGTGGACAGTTTGGGTATATAATTATTATATTACATTAGGAAACACCCTTGAATCAAACCTCAGTAACTTTTTGATATGACTGTTTGCACTGACGAACCCAATTTGTTTTAAAAATCAAAGACAGCATACTTGATGTTCATTGAATGCCACCTTTCCTTGTTGTTTTTGTTTTTCATGTCTTTTGGCACAACAAAACTTGTAAGAACCATTGTTTTAATAAGTCAGACATTTCATCTTGAGTCAATGACAGGCTATATGTACCATAAGTTTCAGCATTGATTTCATATTCATTTCAAAAGATCCATCAAATAGTACTATAGTTTAAAGCTATATACTTACAATACTTTGCTCCAAAAGTGCCAGGCCTGGATCCAAATATATAAAGAAATTCTCTTAGCTCAAACTCTGACCTCAGGTATTTAATTGGCCAAAAACTGCCACATATTATGTACCCTAAACGATTTGAGAAAGAACTTAGAAAAATGTTTTATAACCTTGAGGCCAGAATGACAGTTAGCCCAAGAGAATTGGAAAGTTTTTCCATTTTTCCTTATATCCTCCCACCCCAGGGCAATGGCAATTTTCAAAATCCTGTAAGTGTAGGAGATATTTAACATATCAATAACTTGTTCCCTCTGATTGAATTTCATATTTCTACTTCCTAGGATTCAAGTATTGGGTATGCTGGACTGTGCAGTATCTTGCTAGGCAAAGTATTAATTGATAGGTGTTTTAAGTAATTTACTGTTCTTTATGGTTTGTTTTTAATGTACGTTTTAACCATCCAGACATGAATTTATTGTTTGATCGGCCATGCAGACAAGTATGCTTCAATTACTTTTAAACAAAACAAACAATGAAAGTTCAAGTAACATTTTCACTCACAATGATTTTTACAACCCAATTATAGGCACAGTAGCTATTATATGGATTGTAAGTAATGATTTGAATTTTCTCCATCTGTCGCGTGTCGAAACACCTGTATTCAAATTTAAGTACGTATGTAGTATTTACTTATAATATATTCATAGATTAATATCTGCTTTTCAAACCATATAAAACAAACTTCAGTTTAATTTAAATCAAGAATTTCTTAATTTGAAGCTAGGCTTTCAAAGGAGAGTTAATTAATATCATTTTTTAAGGATACTGAATCTCAATAAATCAAAACTAGGTTTTCTAACAGTTTATCTAAAAATAGATCATTTCATGTTAGATACAGCAAACCTGTGCTTAAAGACCAGCTTAAATATACAGACTGATCTGACATTATAACAAGAATGCTTGACTATTCTCAGTGTCTTATAGTAAAACAAGAGCCTGGATAATGTGGAACTTTCTAAGCTCAATAAGGGCCATAATTCTGTCAATATCCGTGTTTTAGTTATGGACCTTGGGCAGTGACAAAAAAAAATGTAAAAAGTGTCAGAACAGTAATTTTGGAGATACCAACTTGCGCCCAAAAGCTTAACCAAATCCCTATTCTCCGAATAGTCAAGCTAAAAGTAAAACCATTCCAGCTATTATGTCTAGGACAAAAAACAAACTGGTTTGACCCTTAATTAATACACTAAATATCTGTTAAATGGATGTGTCCATCATTCAATCTGAACAAAATCAAAATGACAAAATAGCGTTGTGCAGACCATGATTTAACAGCACAAATCTGCTCTTGGTCTGCACTGGTAAAATGAGTAGAATCGATCAGTCACTGGGTTATTATAAGCAAACATGGAATTGAATTCACTATTCCTAGATTATCAGGAGGCAACAAATTATGTATAGGAAAACCATTCAAGAAATCCAAGTCTCTTAATTTACTATGACCATGACATTTTGTTCAGTACAAATAGTTCATATTATAAAATGCTCCATTGCTGACACCAATCTCATCAAAGGCGAATTCAATGGACACATTCATTTGTTGTTGTTGTTTTTTATTAATTAAAGACCTTTTTAGCTTATAATTTCTGTGTGTAAACACTGAATTAATTTTCATTGAGAATTTCCATAAAAAATGTGCAGCTGTGTTATCAAGAGAGTTCAGACAGTTCATCTCGATATTTGTAAACAATACCTGACCTAATTTTGTGACGTAATAATGTGTAAACGTCATTGACATTTTGACATCAACATTTGTGACATCATGAGAACTACTTTAACTGTTTAATGCTTGGAACAACATTACATACATAATCTCATTAACTGATTGTCGGACAAATGAGAGAAATGTTCAAACTTACATGATCATCTGAGGAAACGATTCACCTCATTATTAGCAACACTGAATATATTTTATACGAATTCACAGGCCTCTGACATAATCAACAATAAAACAACTCTACTGTATATTGTAGAGGTCTGCCTCCGTTTCCATGCAGGAAGTGTGACCAGAGTAACGTCCCCTGGTGTTCCATATGCTCCACGTGCAATATGCTTTAACATGTGTAATATGAATTCTATGTTATCAGTTACTTTGTGTCATTTGCTTTGTTACGTATATACAAACTAACACTTGTATAGTTTCATGTTACATGTAATTTCCCGCTCATTTGCCGGTAGCACGAGAAAATCGTGCAACAGACACTGACGAACTATTTGAGTGCTTTAAGCATGTATATATTTCAAAACGGGTTATTTAGTACAATGTATACAAAACTAGTTTTCAATAATTAGCTGTACACAGTGCGATGGTTTACATAGAAAATCATGACATCGCACGAGTAAAATATAGAAAAAGAATAGCTAAATGAAAATGTCGTGCCAGACATATGTCAACAATCTGTGAAGTTAGGCTAAATGAAGTTTGTGTCGGGCTTTGAACTAGTGAACAAAAATGCTAAAAACCGTAGATACTGTTAATACAAATGATTTTGATGTGGCCCAGTACCGGGTAGGTTTGATGTTAACCAAAATACTACCTTGCACGCGCCAAACACACTTCGATATTTTGATCGCTTCATCACTTTGAACAAATCTCAAATTATTATATACGGTTTTTTAATGTAATAAGATAGATCTAACCGACAGTCGGTGTGAAGTATATAATCATCGCATTAATAGGTAGACCTACATTTACAGCGTATAGGATACTAATTGTTGCGCCCCCAAAAAATTATGGCTCTGGTCAATTGTACGGCCTTACATAAACAAAATACTTTTTGTGAAATTATATGTAAAAATGTGATGTTTAACATAAAAAGCCAATTTTTAATGTTACGAAAACATCTCAAATGAAAATAAATGAAGCCACCGTAGTATTAGTTTAAGCCGACCTAACTCCGCCCACACGCTTTTTCCCGCCGCTCGACCGGATTACAGCCATTTGATAAATTTACATCTAGTTCCTGATTTCTATTAAATTTTTTTATTGCCATCATAATTTATCACATGTATGATGTTCATAAATGTCTGCAGAATTAAAATATATAAAAAGAACTTAAAGTTTCATTTTACTTTAAATGCAATGAAGTATCGTAAAATCGACCTTGCGTAGGGTCACAGCGGCGCGCATGAATACTAATGTATTCATAATCTAGAATCTAGATGTACATAGCAATCGTGTCTCGGTGTATCATTGCACTTCGGCAGTAGTTGTGAACTTGTCAAAATCGTGGAATTATTTAGAATATCTATGGGAATTAAAAATATACCGTGCTATGTTGTTGCAGGTAAATATAACAATATGACATACATCTTGTGTTAATACTTAAACATCGTTTTAATTGGGGAAATTTAATGACAACTTTTCCCGAAGTTTTTGACGTTATGCCAACCGGCATTTTTCATGTGGGAGTTGTCTCAGTGAAGCCGGTGAAATATTTTCTGTGTAAATTGATTAAAGTACGAAATGATATGAAATGACAATTTGCGTATTTTGTTTGTAACTTGATTTTTTATAATATTGTACATGAAAATGAAAACTTTTCATTTGATAAAATGGTTAATTACGCAGTTGTAATTTACAATCTGTCGCGCAGTTAGATATCACGTGTTCACTTGCTTATTCTAGGTCATATGCATATATAATGATGGCATGAGGCCAATTACTTTTACTTACACGCGGATATTAATCTAGTTGTAAGACTACTTCTACGCACTGGCCTTGAATTACTTTTGCCTTTAAAAGTACTTATAAATAAGAGGAAATATTATTTATTAAACCTTTGATTAGTAGATTCAATTAACACTTAACTTTCTAGATTTAAATGATAGATAAATCATAATATTTCTTTTCCAGATATGCCAACAGTTAGAAAGAATATATCAAGTACCAACAAAATGAATTTGTTAGATGAAATATCGAAAAGCCCTGTCTCATATGATGAAGAAATCTACTTGCCCCCAACTTCAGTGATGAGTGAAGATATTTGGAAAAAGTTTGACTTGCCGACGCCACCACTGTCTCCAAGACATGAAAGTGACAGTGAACTTGATCTTGAAAATGTCACAATGCCATTTGATATAGATACAGAAGACCTTCTTCTCTTTGATGATGATGATATAACAAACGAGATGTTGAAAGAAGTGATATCCACTTTTCCAGAGTCACCGCCTGGTCCTGATATAGAGTCTAATCTTCAATCCAACTTGATTCAGGACATTATGTGGTCAGCTCCAGTAAAATCTGTGGAGTTGAGTAAACCAGCCCAGAAAGACCAAAAACAACGGCTTAGATGTAATTCATGCTCAAACCCAGCTTTCAACACAGCCTGTGTTGCACCAGATGAGGTGTTTCCACTGGAGCAGACTCCACCACCACCACCACCAGCAACAAATTTGGGAGGCGCAATTTCCCAAACCAGGGTACATAACCTAGGAATTGAAACACCCTCAGATTCTGGTTAGTATATCATAACTCATTTTGAATAAACAATGAAAAAAGATGGTTTTAAAAAAAATAAAACTTTATTAAATTGTTCGCTTTTGACAAACTTTATATAAATACAAAGCACATAACCTTTAAAATATCAAGTATTTAAACTTGGTTATGATATTATCATTTATTTGACATGTAAACTTGTTGAATTTAATATTTTTAATTATTGTACTATTGATTTTAATATTTTCATATTTTTACTTTACAGAGGAAGAAATTGATGTTGTAACTGTGGAAAAACACCTTCAAGTAACTGTTCCAACTAAAAGGAAATACATCTCCGATGATGAAGATGAATGCAGCCCTATAAAGAGTGAACACAACCGCGGTACTAAAACAGTTACATTGACTATAGGACCTAAATCTGGATTTAGCACACAAACTGTTACAAAATGTACATCAGTGAGACCTAGAGTTGACTGTCCAACAGATGTTCATAACTATAGTTTACCAGTGACTTCTCTTAAAAGAGTGCATTCATATCCAAATTCACCTGTCACACATAAAAGTAAAAAACTAAAAAGGGATATAAGTATACCATCAGACTTGAGAAAAGTTGCACAAAAACTTAAATCTTCCATGGGAAGTTGTAGTCGGAGTTCTAGTGATTCTGAGGAAATGTGCGAAAGTGGTAAACGGACTCAACATAATGTTCTGGAACGTAAACGTAGAACTGACTTAAAAAATAGTTTCTTTCATCTAAGAGACTCTGTACCGGAACTTGAGGGACAAGAACGTGCACCAAAAGTTGTTATTCTCAGGAAAGCGTCACAGTATATAAACAGACTCATTGATGAGCAAAGACGGCAGGAAAGAGAAATCGAACAATTGAAAATCAAGAAGGAAAAATTGAAAAGGAATCTTGCAAAATTGCGGGATTATTAAACAACTATCCTACAGACTTGAAAACAAGTTGGATTTATTATGCATTGCATTAAGTGCTTAAGTTGAGAATGATGTTTTTCACGAGGTTAACCAAACTTCTATAGACATGATATATATATACATTAATCATGGATAATTTTAAGCAAACATTCAAATAAAATGTTCAGATAAAGGCATTAAATGAGTAATTTTCATGAAGTTTGATAGGGCCTAATGATACTGCTAATTCAAGCTGTGTTCATGTATGTGTTCAATAATTTTTTTATGTGCATTTAATCACTGCCTTTAACTTATAACACTTGGCATTTCATTTGTGTATGCATTGAGGTCATTCTTGGACCATTACTTACTATACCTATTAGAGCTGTAGTGAATTTGACAGTTCAGGAAAAGAAAAAATGTGATTTATTTTTTAAGTTGCTTTATACAATTTTTGTTGGGGGCAAATGGTCATTTTATTTCGTTTGCTTGACTAAATGGGTGATATTATTATTGCATTTTTGTATGATAACTGTTTGACTGTTGTTCTTTATTGATTTCTATTTCTACAGAGTTTATGTACCTATTTTCTCTTTAAATACTTGTATATTTTTTCATGTTTTATAAGAAAATGTCCAACAAAATCTTGATTTAATTAAATTGGCAGGTGATTTTCCTCTAAAGTAATGAGCTTGTCATAAAAGCCCAGTTAGTTGTGTAAATATTGTTCTTTAATAATGTTAAAGTTTGCTATAAAGAATTTATATTGAGATTTTTTTTTCTGTCAAGTGATAAATCAGTTGAATGGGAATATCTGAAGTTTATAATGAATGTATACAATAATCAGCTTTGTTGTTTAAGAACCATGTTGAATGAAATGTTATTTTCGCTTTTAAAATAATGTATAAAATATCATATTCCTGGTTATAATTACCCAATGTACAAAGGTTTGGTTGAAGTTTTGTTAGTTATTTTACAAAGTAGTTTGCTTTTTCTATTAACTTTTTAATAATCTTATTTACAGCCTCTGCAAGCAGCAGTTATTCTGATCATCTTAGACTAAACTGATTTTTTTTATCAAATTGATGCAAGAATATAATGTTATTAAATTGTTCAAACTGTATTGAAAATATACATGTTTAAGCATATAAGAACTATTTAGATCATTTTCAAATAAGTCACATTTTCACACAAAGTATTCTTGCATTGATTTAAGAAATTGCAATTTTGTTTGTTTGTGTTTTTGGTTTAAGAACTGTTTTGGCGACTTTTACATAAAAAAAGAAAACTCATAAGAGGTTTAAGAAAACAATAAAATGAGTCTTATAAAAAATTGTATTTTGTGTTGTATTCTTTCTCAGATGTATATTGAATTTTATTATCTCTCTACACCCCACTCTAATGTAACAAAGGACAACTTGACATTTGGCGGGAAAACAGCGAGACTACCGGGTGACTCACAGCCAATCGTTAACCCTGAATTCACAACTGGAATTTCATTCATTCGTAGGGAGCGTCTCAAACTATTATTGTTATACTGCATAACGTATATATTCTACACATACAAAACGTAGTAAAATAACAGATATGCGTAGTTTAAAACTTGTTGCGGAGTAGGTACTATGCAGAATCATCAGAAATATAACTTAATCAAGTCAGAGGGTTAAGTCTTGAAATAAGCATCGCCCCACTTAATTTTTCAATATTCATAGATATTAAATATTTGTATACCAAGTTGCAAGTAAAATCCCTTTAAAACCGGAAACAGTTTTAAATTAAATTGTAATACTCGCCGTAGTTATCTGCACAGCACGACATCGGGTGACCATGACCTAATTTTATGACAATTGAATGCCAGAGAAGATTGCAATGCCATGCTGATACCAGGAAATTAATAATTGGTCTACACTATTTTATAGTCTTTTCATGAATTTCAATGATAACGTGATTTGGGGTATCCAGTTACTTTATACGCACGAATTAGCGCTACGCGGTAATTATACAAATATAATGTACAAATTGTGTGGTATCATTATCAGTAATTATAAAACTGTCGACATCTTTCTAGACAAGAATATAAAACTCCTGTAGTCATAACATAGAGTGATGTCGTTTGCTCGCTTTGAAAGACGCTAATTTGTAGTCGCGTTTTAATAGCATACGTAGACAAGGCATCCAGGTTCTTTCTGCACCGGTACCATGAATTCTAGTATATATATGACTGAAATAAGAGAACAACTAACAAAGTATTTATAACACAGCAGATCGTCTTACATGATGTCAAGTGGGTGTCAAACTTCTTTTTAGATATATCTGTAATGAGAAACAAATTTATGAGCTTCTGCTACTGAATGAAGTGGTTTTTGTCTCGATTCCTTCCAGTAAAAAGTTTTTTTCTGACTATATAATAAATATCAAGATTGAAATGTCTTTAAATGACCGCTTCACTTGGCAGTGTCTTATTGACATTAAAATATCACGTTTCAAAGCTTGAAACATATCGGGACAGTTTTGCAATCGAAAATATTGAAGTTTTCGTCAATCTGACTGAAATAGTTCAGCACCATTTAATGTTCGATTCCCGTTCCTTTTCATATGTTCGATTCCCGGTCTTTCATACAAGGAGGATGCTCCTCACGCCTTACACACTGAAAATCTGCCAAATGCTGTAAACTTATGCTACCGGGGTGGATGCTTGGTCTTTCAAATGGTCTATGCCACAGGCAAAAGTATCGGACCTGGGAAGAAAAAATATGACCAGATTGATAACAAAACCTGTGTTCATCTTAAAAGTGTCAAAAAAAAAAATGTATATAATGACCCCCTTTAAAAATATACTATAATTTAAAATGTATATAATGACCCCCTTTAAAAATATACTATAAGTTAAGAGTATTTTAACTTATAGTATATTTTTAAAGGGGGTCATTATATACATTTTAACTTATAGTATATTTTTAAAGGGGGTCATTATATACATTTTTTTTTTTTGACACTTTTAAGATGAACACAGGTTTTGTTATCAATCTGGTCATATTTTTTCTTCCCAGGTCCGATACTTTTGCCTGTGGTCTATGCGTGCGTCTTTTTTTTTATCATTTTCAGACCTTTCGATCAATGTAATACAAAAGAATGATCAACACGAGGTCATATGTGGATAAAGCATGTCGTATTTACGATGTTCAAACCATTTTTTATAGTCATAATGTTCAACAGCTTGCGGGATACAGCGACAATTAAAACCTATGACAATAAATGAATACGTCGTTCGTTTAGAAGAGAGAAAAAATGTCGCACAAAAACTTTATGAAAATCGTTTTGAAAATGCAAAATGCTACAGGTTCAATGAAAGGTAACAGGTGTCCAATTAATGAACACATTTATTTTCAACTATTAAGGCAAAAGTAAAGCCCGATTCATAATGGCCAATTTTCCCAATTTTAACCCTGATACTAAACAGTTACTATAGTATTTAGCTGTTCCAGAATAGAACATTTTAATTCTGTCTCAGATATAACCAGTATTGATTAGATGCTGTCTGATCATGGAGCCTTTTTATGACATTATAATACGCTCAAGAAGCGCGGATGCCATGCAAGTGTAGAAAGGGCGCGAGTTTTTGAGACAGCACGGCAAAAAGCACGTGCCAACTGATGTCTATCGTATATTATATTTTAATACATGAAATATATTGGTATTGAGAACTGCAGTTTTGAAGAGTTTGTTGTGTTTAACTATTCAGTTAATAAAATAGCGAAAAACACCCAAAACGACGATAAGAAAATTATGTTGTAGGGTCATAAACCGTAGATTTGAATTTCCTATTTCAAATGATCTTTTTACTCCAATATGACGTTCCCATTGTAAATAATGAACGACCTAAATGAATGAATTGTATTTTATATAATGTAAAGATTATTTCATAAAAAAGCCCTGCTTATTATGATGCGTACCAGCTAGTGTAGAGCGCGTTGTCTGTGACAATTGACAATTATACATAATTTCTTTAATCGGTACTTCAGAGACGTCAAATCGTGATCTTACACTTATCTAAATAAGAATGCCAACACCAATTTAATTTAATATGTTTCACGAATAGCCAACAGAGGTATAGATAGATCTGAAAATTGCTTCAATAAATAATGCATATATCTAGTCAATTAAAAAATGAATGCAACACGTGAAATAAATATTGTCAAAGTCATAATTTTAAAGAGATTTACATTGCAGAAATGCATCTCCATGATATATTGTATCAAATGTTTTGATTTATTAAGTTTATTTCGCAATCAAACCGAAGAAAGAATATCATAGAAACAACGCAGATATAGTTCCGTATATTATAATAATGAGTCTGTAAATAAACTTTTCGTCTACTACAGTTAGGCGATTAAAAAAAGAAAATGGCAGCCTCCATGAGAAATCCTGTGGTTGTTATTCTTGGCGCCACGGGGACAGGTAAAACAAAACTGTCACTGGAGTTGGCTAAACTATTTCACGGAGAAATAATAAGTGCAGATGCTATGCAGGTATTCCACATCTTGTTATAATCATTTCTTAAATATCCAGCAAGTTCGAAGTGTAATCTTTTTCGGATAGAACGCATAAAGTATATAAGATGATGAAATATGGATGTTAAGCGTGGAAATAATCAACCTGCAGTTTTCATAACTTTTTGTTTCTGGTTCTTGTTAAAGGAGACACATTAGGAAACACATTTATTTTACAAATAATCAATGGTAATTAGATATGATTTAGTGCATGTTGCCAAACTTTTTTTTTGAGGAATGACAGACCTTCTCCTTGAAGGTTCTCCCTATAATAACAAACTTACCAATTTATCAAATATCTTCAAGTATCAATGCTAATGTAATATGAAATTAGGCAAAGCCTATGAATGGGGAAGTCGGTTTAAAAGAATTGTTCATTTTTTCCATTTTAAAGGTGTCATTTGCCGATTTGGTATTTCTTGCACCGCTTCCATTTTCACTCGGAACACTTGATGATTATTATAAATCTGAAAAGTTACGATTGTTCCGTTATCGGAATATCCCGCCTAATATGAAATTAGGCAAAGCCTATGTACGGGGAAGTCAGTTAAAAATATCATTGATTTTTCCGTTTTAAAGGTGTCATTCGGTATTTCATGCACCACATCCGTTTTCACTCGAAACATTCAATGATTATTATTAATCTGAAAAGTTGTGATTGTCCGTTATTTAAATACCTCACCTTTTACCATTGAGTTACAATGAAAATGGTGGCGCCCAACTAGAACTGACACTGAAAATTTCATTGATAGATATAAAATTATATATAATTTTTTTTTTTTTTTTTTTTTTTATTTGATTTGATTTCCTTTAAAATATACATGTGTAGTCTATAGCCGGGCAAGCCAAAGCCCGGCGGCCCTTTGACTTCCCCGTATTGTCATTGAGATTCATAGAAAATTACACAGTGCCCAACTAAAACTGACAATGAAAATTTCATTGATAAGTATAGATTTCTATGTTTTCCTTAATTGTTTTTATTTGATTTCCTTTTAAAGTTACACATGTAATCAAGCCAGGCCAGCCAAAGCCCAGGCCCGCACCCTACATTTATAAAAATGAAATTTGGGTGGAACAGTCTGCACATATTACAAATAAGTAGATAGTTCTCCCCAAAAATAGGAAACATTTGGGAAGGAACTGCTAAGGGGGGTGGGTGCAGGAATAGTCTGACTACCATTTTTAAAACATATAAGTTTTGATTGGTCAATATATTGATCAAGTAAAAGAGATCAGGTAAACATTGTATAATTTCTGTCTAGATATTTTCTTATCATATACATTTATATTCCAGTTATATAAAGGACTTGACATAATCACAAACAAGGCAACAGCAGAAGAAAGGGCGGCATGCAAACATCACATGATAGATTTCCTTTCTCCTCTAAAAGAAGATAATACTGTTGTGAATTACAGAGATCAAGCTGTGCCCATTGTATCTTTTTATGATAACTGTTCTTTCTTTATATATAAAATTTCCTGAAAATAATTAGTTTGATTTGGAACATGATATAATGGGACAATCAACCTTCCAACTAGAAGTAGAGGTGCGCGGTTTAACCGGTATACCGGTAAACCACGGTCCGAGACATCTGCGGTACGTACTGCGGTACAGACCTGGAAAACCGGTACTTTTAGCTCTAATTTAAAGCAATTACAGATCCGTAAAATGTACTAAATTAAAAAACTTTTTCTGTTGTATATGTCAATGTTTCTTTGAGTTAACCTTTTTGCAAACAACTTTCGCCGACTGTTATCATTCTTCGATAGTTCTTAGCGAAAATTGAATGCTTTATCGATTACCGCATGTAAGCCAGAATTGTCGACTTGCATGATTTCAGTTGAAGAAGCAAGAATTGTCGACTTACATTTACTTGTCCAAATATCGCTTATTTGATACGAAAACTAATCGTAAAGATTGATAATTCATGAGGGCATTCCAAGCTTGCATAAAATTAGGGTGTTACTATTTTAAGTATTTATATAAATAGCGACCAATCAGGCTAGGGGTTTTCCTTACGTCACGCACTTACTGCATGCGCATGGCAATTAACTAATTATAGAACGGCGTAGAAACTGGATTAAAAGTAATGTTCGTTCAACTAATGAATATTAATTAAGCAGCAACATGGTCAGCTTTTTTCTATGTGATAATTTTAATTTGCTTTTGGGGTACATGTTTGTTTTGGTTTAAACTAGCTCTTGCAATAAAAAATTTACAATAGCAGCTGGGACTCTGTTATAAAATTAACCGACAAATAAATATTTGTCATCGGCTAACGTGCATTTGACCTATTATTTTATTAATCAATAAGCAATAAAAACATTTTATTTTTCCATTTCAACTATGCAATTTATATATAGTTTTTAAATGTTGAAAGAGACCAATATATAATAAAAAAAACAACAACAACAACTTATCCATGACCCAATTAATTTATGATTGTCAACATGCGAAAGTACCTTATGAAAAAAAGTTAAATGATGCTTTGATTAATCTGTATTTTATAGATCTGCTTAATTTTGATATTTGAAATTCTATATCAGCCTACCTTGATACTTATTTTAGAGATAAAAATTAACCTATAGCGTACAATGAAAATCCGTGGTATACCGCGGTTTATACCGTGGTTTTTAGGAAAAAAACGTGGTATACCGTGGTATTTTCTTTCTGGCGGTACCCAACTCTAACTAGAAGTCTAGATAAACAGTCTTATGTTGGTTTCCAGTTGACAATTGATCATAAGTGTAGTGTTTAAGCGGTAATTAGAAATAATTGAGCCGCGTTGTGACAAAACCAACATAGTGCATTTGCGACCAGCATGGATCTAGACCAGCCTGCGCATCTGCGCAGTCTTATCAGAATCCATGCTGTTTGCTTACAAACCCTATAACAAGTAGAGAATCTGATTGCGAACAGCATGGATCCTGATCAGACTGTGCGGATGTGCAGGCTGGTCTGGATCCATGCTGGTCGCAAACGCATTACGTTGGTTTTGTCACAACGCGACTCAATTAAATAAGTTTTTGTAAAATTTTGCTGTCTGAAGTTAACAGTGCCAGGTTCCAACACTTAAAGTTTTGTAAATCAAGCACTGCTCAAGCAGGTGCTAGGGGGAGTGGGGGGATGTTGCATTTTTTCATTATCCTTCGTGTACAGACTCTGTTAAACCGAGTGTGCAATTTTCATGTAATTTTGTTGTAATTGATGCTTCCAAGAGATCAAACTTTTTTCAGATTTCTTTTACTAAAGAAAATATTTATGAAGTTTGAATAACATCTGACAACAACCTGTTTTGAAATGAGTATTTATATTATTATATTTGTGTGATTCAATTGGTGAAAATATATCAGTGACTAAACTCATACAAGTGTGTATAAAGTGATTTTGAGCCAATAGCAAAGGGAAGTTTGAATCTTCTTTCCTTTATAGATGCAGAAAATTACTAACCTTCATTGCACATAAATAAAACTAATTTATTATTTAGCAAGTTTGGCAGAGAGGTAAAACAATTTAAGAAAATGTTGTTTTTTTCTCCCTCAAGACATTTAATGAAATTATCAGCTCATTGTCATACATTGACTCTCACTAAAAGGTGGCATGTAATTACTTTATTTATTAATATCTTAAAACTTTATTATGCTCCGCGAAATATTTAGGGGGAGCATATAGTCCCCGGGTTGTCCATCCGCCAGTCCGACCGTCCGTACATACTTCCCGAATTTGTGTAACTTTGTTATTTTAAGTCGGATTTTACAACTATTTCACAGAAATGATCACCATATTGACACGAAGTGCGTGCACAACATTTGGGTCGCTTCCTTGAAGGTCAAGGTCATAGCATGACCTTGAAGCAAAATGGTGTCCGGCCCATAACTTTTTTATTTAAAGTCGGATTTTACAGAAAGGATCACCATATTGAGACGACGTGTCGCGCTCTACATTTGGGTCACTTCCTTGAAGGTCACAGCATGACCTTGCAGCAAAATTGTGTCCAGCCTATAACTTTGTTATTTGAGGTCCGATTTTACAACTATTTTACAGAAATGATCACCATATGGAGACGATGTGTCGCGCGCAACATTTGGGTTGCTACCTTGAAGGTCAAGGTCACAGCATGACCTTGAAGCAAAATCGTGTCCGGCCCATAACTCCGTTATTTGAAATCGGATTTTACAAATATTTTACAGAAATAATCACCATATTGAGACGCGTGTCGCCCGCAACATTTGGGTCACTACCTTGAAGGTCACAGTATGACCTTGCAGCAAAATCGTGTTTGGCCCATAACTTTGTTATTTGAAGTCGGATTTTACAACTGTTTCACAGAAATGATCAACATATTGAGACGACGTGTTGTGTGCAAGTCAGTAGATAGATCTCATTGAGTAGAAGTGCAGTGCAAAGAACAGTAACTCTGCCTTGCCTAAGTTTGGAATTATCACACTTTGAACTTTGTCTGGGACATAACTCTGAAACTACAAAAGATATACTTTTCTGTGTCCAAAACCTAGTCGGAATGCATCACCCAGTTCAACCAGCTCTTGTTTTATATATTTTAGTATTTTCAGCATTTTAGGTAGCTAGTATATTTTTAGCTTGACTTTTCAAAGAAAGAGAGAGTTATTGTATACTAACACAGGACTGGTGCCGGCGTCAGCGTCACACTTTGATTTTTTTTTTGTAAATTGGTATCTTTAAATCTACTGAAGGGAATGGGTTGACGCTTTACACACTTACCGGTATTTGAGATATAACTCTAACAGGGATTTTGACAAAATTATGGCCTTTTTTTAACTTAGAAAAATTGTACATTATCCGGGCTCTTGTTCTACTATCAAGCACTGAGAATAGTCAAGCATGCTGTCTTACCAACAGCTCTTGTAAAAGTTTATTCCAGTCCTTTCAGAATTGATAATAGCTAAAAGATTAGAGACTTTGACATTAAGTCTAAGGGAATTTTTTTTGGCTTATTTTATAGCTGATATTCAGTCATATTCCCAATTGAAAATAGTATAATTTTTTTCCAACCACAGGAAAAATTCCCAAATGAAAGTTACAAAATAAAAATATTGAATAACAAATTCTAAAATCTTTGAAAATAAGGGCTTCTTCACTGTTATGATGCTTAAATAATTGAAGATGTCATCCAAGACAGTGATTCTTTGCATTTATTTATTCACTGAAAAATTTAAGTCATGGATTTTTCCCCAGTTTTTAACAAAACTGCTAAAATTCTCAAGTCCATGGGTATGGGTCATGCTCTCAAAATCCTGGGTGGGGGGGGGGGGGGGGGAATCTGAGTCGGTACATGTTTCAGAGGGAAAGCAGGTGATTGCTTAAGAAAATAAATTATTTAAGCTATTGTTGATTTGTAATATTATTAAAGAAATTTAGAGGGTTCAGTTCTGTTAAGAAAATTGCTATTTAGATTATTTATTATCCTTGACTAGAAACCAAGGTAGATTCATTACTACAACAAAAGAAGACACCAGTGATTGTAGGTGGAACCAACTATTATATTGAATCGTTGCTATGGAGACACCTTGTAAACAAAGAGGTAATATACATTAATTGAAAAATTGAAAAGTCATTTACATTATTTTATAAATAAAACAGATAATTTACATTATTTTATGAATTAAGAGATGATTTATGCAAAAAATTATCATTATTTCATGAATTAATTAAGAGGTGATTTACATATAAATACAAATCATTTAATGAAAATGTTGTTTACATTTCATTTATACAGAGGTGAATCTAAATTAGTTTTTGATTAAAGAGATCATTTATACAGTTTCATCAATATAAAATCTGGTTACATTTATTTGCATTGAAAGAAGTAATTTACATTGTGATATTAAAAAGTTGGTTATGTTAAGTATAAATATTAATTCTTTAGTAATTGTATAGTAAGTGTTTAGTATAATGCTAAATATTAAAGTTGCATGCCTCCAGACGAGCCAAAATATTTCAAGAAAAGTAAGCTTGAAAAGAATCTTCTAAGAAAAGTAAAATAATTAAGATTCAAGTTATAATTTACTTGTTAGATTGTATATGCCATAAATGACTGATGATTTTGCATTATTTATCACCATATTTTTACTGCATGACTGGCGCAGTAAGGGCTATTTTTGCATATTTTGACCTCTTTTCTGTAATTTACGCAGATTGTAAGTGTCATCTGCATTGTGTAAAGTACATTCTTTGTTAACTTTACAATATTTTACCTTTAAATACGTTATCAAAATTTTCAGGAAAATTAGCATTAATCTGGAGATATACTCCTATAAGTATGACTGTCTTATTATACTTTTGTCATATAATAGACTCTGCCTATATTGTCTGTAATGATTTATTTGAATCTCTTGAAATGAAAGAAACAAATAGGAGAGTGCAGAAGATTTATGCCTTCAAATTCAAGCTAATTTCCGTAAAAAAATTAAAATGTATTAATCAGTAAACTATTGTCAAGTGAACAAAGAAAGAAACAAAGAACAAACAAACGGCATTTAAGATCTACGAAAATTACTGAAAATAGGTCAGAATATGCAAAAATAGCCCTTACTGCATTAGTCAAGCAGTAGAAATATGGTGATGAATACTACAAAATCAGTCATTAATTGCACATAAAATGTAAATTATTTCTAGAATTGTGAATACTTTAACTTTTCTTAAAATCTTAATACATTTTCCTAAAGTTTGATTTTCTTGAAATATTTTTGCAGCATGCAGCTTTAAAAACAAATACATGAAATTATGTATATAAGGTGTTTATTGAACAATGGATTGTTATATAATGTTGTCATGTATGAAGTATCAGTAGATTAGGAGAGATTATAGGGCTTATCAGAAAGTACCTGCTGAGATGTAATTAATTGGCATTTATAACTTAATTACCACTTCCTAAGGTGCATTGATGTCATGTCAGATAAGATACTATCATAATTGTTTATTTTATTGGTTAGTTAATCAAAATATTTACTTGAGTACTATGATTTTTGCGACGGACGCGCCCTCAGGCGCGTTCAGAGCTAAGTCATCTACACATGGGATTTCGTTGGCTACACTCGCGCAATGTGTCCTAAACCAATTAACAGCCCAAGAAATAGTACATGAATTTGATCCTTCAAAACTCCCATACTTTGTCTGGATATCTTAATGTCTTCCACATTTAGCCTTTTCAATTTCAAATTAAGTTATCCAAGTTAAAATATGAACGTATATTATTGATAAAAACGTTGTAGTCCCGTAGTATTATTGCGCAATATGCAAATTACTGCTGAAACGATTTACCGCTGTCGAAAAAGTAGGACAGCAAATTATACTTCAATAAAGGTGTAACCTCTGAGTTCCAAGACATTATTAGTAGGAAATAAATATTTCTACATTATACAAAACATTATTATTAACAAATCAAAAGTTTTTCGTGACTCTAGGATAACTCGCGCATTAATAAAAGAAGAACTATTTTCGTGACTCATACCGCGGGTTTAGCTGAATATTCAGCAGTTATTAATATATTAGATACAGTACAATGGCTAGTATAAATATCTATTTTTGAAAATGCATGTAAGACACTTTACCGCCATGTAGTCTTTCATGGTAAGGAAGTTATAATATCAGTTCTACTTCCGATTCTTGCGGTTTGTTTACATATTTTACTAGGTCATGATATGAGTTAACCTTCGCTATTCTAAAAATAGATTCTGCTTCACCTGATTTTTGGACAGGCGATTAGGAAGTACACATTAAACATGTAATTAATAAACCAGCGGATTGTAATGCAAAACTTTTAGAAATGCTATACAATTGTAAGAAGCAAACAAGTTGAAAATGGAATTTAGTGTGAAGTTGAAAAGGACAACTAAACACTGTAGTGCTTAAGTGACATTTAAATTAAAATAAAAACGATGTGCTCTGGCCTCTACATCTTTACCTTGTAAATAAAAAAAATCTAAGAAATACACTATTAATTGCTGATGATTTTAACCAATTTTTTTAATGAGACATATCCAAGAGAAATAAAAATACAAATGACTTATATTTTATTGTCTGTATGCCCACTATGATATAACACGAAGCAATTCTAAATAGCATTCTCAAATGTATAATGTATTATGTTTGAAGTTTATTTGCCTGGATTTATTCTAGAAATATTTCGTTGATAGTTTTTTTTTCTATTTACATATCATTTCTTAGAATAAATCGATAAGGACACTGATTTACAAGTTTGACCAGAGTTTTTAGGCATAAATTTCATTCTGTATTTAAGTGCTTGAAAGTAGAAAATCTGAATTATATCAATTTGGGACACAAAATATATTGCTCTACAAATCTCGAACTTGTATGGAACAAATTTTCTCTGTTATATATTTTGTGTTTTGTTTTTGTTTTTGTTTTTTTTTTCTAAAATAAGCCTTAATTAATGTCTCTCCGGTTGCATGTCCGTCGCATTCAGTGCTGCAGCACTTTGATTTTGTGAGGGATGCAACAGTAATGTAATTCACTGTAACTTCTGAAATTCCGAAAACCTTCAAATACCGATCTCTTTGGCTAGTCCCAGAGGTGTTTGGTTTTCAATTATAAGAAAGATCTTATGTTTGAAAAAGGTCAGGTTGCAGTTTGGTCTATCTAATACATTATTTATATACGGTAAAATTGGGTATTTTGGTTTCAGACTTTCAGATTGCCCCTAACTTATACATCTCACTTTACTCTTTTATTTCAAATGATTTGTATGTAAAAAGACTTAATATGTGTAACATCAGAGACACTATATATTGTATATTCATATCTTTACATATGTCTCTGGTAAAACAGTAAAAAATAACTTTTTTCACATTTTTGTCAAATCATGTAAGGTAGGTATGGCAAAAGGCCTTGAATAAGAATGGAAGTATTAGAGAGGTTACATGCTATACAATGTTGTATTTTCATGATATGTCCATATTTTAGTACTAATTTAAGAACCATTGGTTCCTTGTTAAAAAGGACTTAATTCTTCTAAGCACTGGATAGTTATACAATTGTGTTATTGCAAGCTGATTTATTTATAGAAATTTAGAACAGAGAGCCTTCAATATTTTGAGAAATGTTTCATTTTATCTTTTGATGTATTCTCATATGTCAGGATGCATTTCAAAGAACAGAATGACCTCATGTTTAGCCATCAAGGAACACATTAAATACCTCTTAACAAGGATGATTTACATTGAATAAATATTTTTATTTGCCAAGCAAGCAATATGGCTCATCAGCAGTATCATGAGAAACTTTGTAGTATTAATTTTCAAAAAGTTTTGGAACTACTTTCACATCAATTGAGATGTAACTGATATTGTAATGAAGCAAAAACAAATCAGCATGTTCAATGCATGGGAAAGTAGTTCTGCCTGTGAAATTGACACCAATTGATGTCTGTTTCAACACTGTTTACAGCTGTCAATCACAGCCAATTAGGTTGATATGCCATAGGCGGGGCTAAAAGGTCGACAAGTTCCTACCTGAGTTTGTTTGATATAGGAGGACAGGAATTGATGCATGTTGGGCAGAAAATGTCAAAAAAAGAAGTCAAAATAAAGTGGAATGAAATACATGTGTGGGAATTCCCCATCAGTCAACTTTACAAACTCTTAACAGACTAAATGACCTTTCTTTGTCCAGTAAGCAGGGCATTTTTTTAAAACCCCAAATATTGTTATTGGAAGAATTTTTTCTTATACTTTGAAAAATACACAGTAAAGGTTAAAATACAGAAAATGATTAAAATGAAAATGTCTTCTCTAAAAATTTTCATAGCATTAAATGCAAATGACACTTAGGTAATTAACAATTATTCATTTCTTGAACTATATTTTTTTGATGTTTTGAAAATGTAATCACTTATCTGGAGGCATTTTAAGAAACTAAACTAATCCCTATCTTTTGTGGCAGTTGTTAAGTAAAGGAGAACATATCATGTGGAGATATCCTTTTAGAGATACTCATGTTGTGTCAGTCATGTAGTGAAATCCAATGAGGAACACTCACATTGATGTACCTAAGGGGATACCAATATCCTTGCAGAGGTATTCTTGTGGAGATGTTTGCCATAGCTAATATACTTTGAAGACAAATTTAAAGAATGTTATTATGATAAATCAAAGATGTAGAAAAATATTATATTCAATCACATATTTGTACAGTACTTATATAAAAATAGATTTGTTTTGTTTGATTAAGGAAGTAATAAAAGCAACTTTTTGACAGAAATTTTTTTTCATGAATTGTCCTTGCATTCTTTTTCATATGACTTACAATCAGACTGGCAGGTTTTCAATTCAGTATGTGGTATTTAGAAATGTTTTAATATGCGGTTCAAATCAACAGTAAATGAATTTTAAAGGTATTGTGATAGATATGCTTGAGTGTTAAATGCAAGTTGGTATCTCAAAAATTACTGAAGGGAATTGGTTGAAACTTCACACACTTATTTGAGAGTATAATAGGAGGTCACTGTTGAAGACCCATAACTCTTACATGCATTTATGACCCTTTTTGAACATTGTAAATTCT